CAATATATATAGTCGCGCGGTGACCCGGTCGTGTGTTTTTCGTATTTTTCGTTTTCATTATGATTATTATTATTATTATTGCCCACCTAGAATTTTTTTTCACTCTATATACATATTATACTCTCTCGACCCTCTTTACCGCTCGCAATATATTCGACTGCGGTTGGCCGGTAACCATAATAATATTACTTCACCATAACTGCACCACTGCACCGCACATAACCTCATCTATATGATATATTTTACGCGCCCATCATTGCTTAATATATATATAATATTACAGTGTTTGAAATCACTAGGTATTAAATAATATTACTACAGCTATACACATATAATAATTATAATGGAATATTCGATCAAAATCACCGCTCATCGCTACTTTTAGGCAAACGTAAGATATCTAAGAATAACGCTTCTTTAATATATATACGCTACATTTTTTTGTTAGTTAATAATATTTATGTACCTGATTAGTACCTAACAAAGATAAATTTTAAGCGAAACCGTTAAATATTTCGGTATATTCATTGAAAAAAAAATATTCGAATATTTTCGAATTGTGATGCATATATGACTAGAGTACCTAAATTTTATTAATGAAATTTTTTTTAAATTAATTTTGCTATAGACTTAACCAAAAGTTGAATAAAACAGTACACCTTCGACGATGGTTGTATTATACAATAATAGATAGTGCAGTGCGATAATGTATAGCGTTGCTATAAATACGTGATGCAAATAGCGCGCTATTTCCATCCACTAAGAATTTTTATATTATTATATATCGACGTGTTCATCAAATAATATACCCAAGTACATTCATATACAATCGCCATAATAGGTACTACGTGATATTTATTGTAAATTTTATCGAAAAATATAATAGTTACATAATAGTTTGTAGTCTTCCAATAAAATTCCACATATTATTAGGTACTGTGGTTGACCGTCATTGCTGTGTTTTCAAATGTTTTCGTGATGTATAATACCAAAAACAAATCCTAGGTAGTTATTATATTTTATATTATTATGACGGTAATTTATTAACCAGTCAAAATAACAGAACTTTATGCGGGCCACCCTTCTATTAGTGCATACTGATATTGTGATATATAATTATTATTATTGTGCTAATCGTTTGTATCCCCACTCAAGCACTTCTAAACGCGTGCGGCGTTTTATTATGATTACGATAATTGTGTGCGTTTGTACCTTAAAACTATTAAAATTATATAATATAGGCTACAGTAGACCAGAACAACTGTGGCAGCCTACTTATACAAATTAAGTTTTAAGTTTAAAATTTTTTTTTTTTACTTCTATACTAAAATTTTATGTAACCGTTTTTACGACATTCGTCGTAAAACTAATTCAACTGGCAAACTTGCTCTCTAATACATATAATAATTTTTGTGTACTATGCACCTTRCACTCTTATAATATGTACATAATTGAAGTTATTAAAAATTATAAAATTTAAATATAACCTCTCATGAAAATGTTTCAGCGTTTAATTATAATATATTTAAAATTAATTGTTTCGCATTCCCGATTTATAAAACTTTGTTTCACTACGGRTATGGGTGTATTGTTATGTAATGTTATAAACGCTTGGTTTATTTTATCGTTGTGGATAGGTACGTTAACAAGTTTTATTTGTGTCTCTGAGAAGTTATAATATACCGAATGTTGGTTTTCTGTTTATTGTAATTATTTGGACACAGGTACCTGCAGTTGTTACYTATAATTACGAATTGTGTTATTATATCATTGGCCGTTGCACATTTGCGCTATATCTATGTAATRTRTAATAACAATATTATACGTTCGTTGACCATTAAAATAGTATGTTTCCCGAAAACGCAATTATTCTTAATATTAGACATTTATTTTAATAATAAATATTGTGGTTATGGGTCTGGATTTGTTGCTATATCGAGTAGATAAAGCTAGTTCGAGGATTACAATAATATCGTTTGTATGATAGTTACAGCCAAATAAGTATTACCGTTATCATAATAAGTTTAATTAATACACATCTGGATGGAAAATTCGTATGGACACATCATAATAAAACTGTTGAACTGCTATAAAAATGTTAACTATAAATTGACCTCGTCGATACTGTTATAAAGGTACACAATTATTACACATGATATGTATTATTATATCCCTATATACAGGTTAGTGAACCCGCGGTATCAAAATCTCATGATGAGTGCCGGTACCTATATCGGTACTATTTTGGCATTATAATATCATATTGTTGCTTATATTTAATTACGCGTGCTAAAACCCGGTTATATATCTTTAACGTTGGCCTTTCTGAAACTAAAACGCATTGACCAAGGTCGTTAAACAGTTCGTGAATACGATTTTATTCTTAATAATTTGATATTTTTGTCGGGYAAATACAAATTTAAACGTAACATGAATTATCGTACCCATACGTGTAAATAACAAATTTATTTTATTTTATCCATCATGAAATTATTTAACTTATGACTGTTTCCTAAAACACCGCACATTGGTATAACTATGACATAACTTGCATTCAATATACAGGAATTTTTGTAAATTTAATCGAAATAGCGTTAGAAACGAATAAAATTCAAACATCTTTAATCAATWAATATTTATAAATCAATCAAGAAATTTTAGGATTTGTTATCATCAATGGCTGTAGTCATATTAATTTTGCATTTTCTATCGTGCCTTTAGGAATCCTTTAATTTTTGTGTATACGTAGTAGAATATAGTATACACATATTAATACTTATAAAATATTGTAGGTCAGGGTTTAATACCGTAGTAAAACTAGTACGTGCGTCAGAATGCCATTATCAATTATTACCGCGGTGCAGATATTATAAAAAATCGTATATCATTGTATAATTACGATTTTTTATATTAAGTACATAATATATTGCTATTCTTACATACATTATAATATGATCACATAATATCATATTGCAGATGTGGTCATAGCGGGAACATAAAATATCACACTAAAATGATTAAAAATAAATGTATATACTATATACAATGACGTATTTTATTATTATATAACGTGTAGGACGTATAGGTATAATGGTTATATATCGTTACCATGTTTTGCGGTGAATATTATCGTGGTATTGGGTTAACGTGTATAATAATATGGTTTTCATCTTGATCGGCAGGACCTTCGTACATATATAGTATATAACAATATCATCGCCGCTTGTTAAAAATAATCAAATCTAGACGAAAGAATAACGTACATCATAATAATCATATAAACATCATATAAACTGGTTTAACCGTGTGTTCCACATTTAAAGAAGAAAAATTATCCTAAAACTGMCGGAAAATTATTATACAGTTTATACCTACTTGCACTCATTTCGAATAACCGTACCGTACGGTAATACGTGCACGCAACTGTCAATATGAACCATCTGCTACCAACGCGGCCGTTAGCAGAATTTAGATATAATTCCTATTATGCAATCCATTATTATGGCATCTGATCTTTTGTTCGTGAATTCATAATGTCACAGTACATAACTATAGGCGTGTGATGCTGTATACATCTTATAGCACCTACAATATATATATATAGTTATGGAGAGTATTTGTTTTTGTTTAAGGTGCAAGTAGGTACCTACGTATACCTACATATATAATCTTGTTTTCTAATTTAAATTTTTTTTCAACATTAATTTTGTATGTAATATACCTATCATACTGTGTACCTATAATATACTCTTGCGTTATCAGAGTCGATATTATAATATATAATGAATATAATATATTGTCATACGAAAATGGAAGTTTTGAATTTTTCAACCATACCACKTCCCCGTTGTTAAGAACTGAAAAAAAGATATTGACATAGTATCTGCTTAAGAGTGCGAATTAAACAATTACACGGAGGCAGGTTATAGGTACACATAAAATGTGTCCATATAAGTACCCATATTATTATAAATAATTCTATGTCGGTGGTACATGCTGGCGTAAAAATGAATCAGTTTATTCCCGTTTAGAAAAAATTAAACGAGTTTCAAAATGTATTCCAAATCAAATTTATTCCACCGTCCCCATGAACCTAACCCCTGCTATAGGTTGACAATAATAAAAACTGAGTGGATTTAAAATAAAAAAATAAAATAAAAAGGAAAAAAATGTAAATCGGGTTTTAACGCCGTGACAAGTAGAGATGGCTCTAAATAAAAATCCATTAGTTCGTTGAGACGTTAATTGGATATTTCGCCTGAAGAATCGGAATCGTGATTAACGGAGACGCTGTATACGTATGTGTGTGTGTAGTGTATACAGAATGGGTGGTGGAGAAAAGTCGTGGTGTTCAGGTCGGCGGCTTCGTGGGYGGGTGTGTATAATGCTGCTACTGGTCGCGAAGAGGGAAATGATGAGAGTTATTCAAATTCCATTAAATGGAGGGCGGCGTTTAATTGGAATTAATAAAAAGGATCGCCGTCAGCGGCGGGCAAAAAAAAAAATCTGCATAAGTTAAAAAACATTTACACCCCTCCACCACCCCATCCGATTGGCAGACCCGAGCCCAGCCCGGGGAGTTATCCCTGATTTTTTTCCTCACTCTCTTTCCTCAAAAAGTTTAACCGCGTGAAATCGCCTCGGCGGTTTTTTTCTCTCGTGATGGCTTCCGCATTAAATCTGGTYGCGTGAACCGACGACGGAATTGTTTAAAAAATTTGTGCGATTTCCTTCGTATAATATATTGTCTATATCACACCCGCTCAGTWTATACCTAGCGGCTGGCTTAACTCGTTGATTATAATAATTTTTAGTAATATAAAATTTAATCAACCTGCAGTTGTCACATTCACACACATACGTACACGTAGTTGGCCTAGGCATAATATTATATTGCTATTTTGTTCTGCCTGTTTATAAAATAATGGTCTTAAACTCTAATTATAAAATATTATACACGTGAGTTATTATTTATATCGATTTTTTTCGTTTCGCTTCAGATACGGCATGGACCTGAACGGTGCCAGGCGGAAAAACGCCACTCGAGAGACAACCAGCACGCTGAAGGCTTGGCTTAACGAGCACAAGAAAAACCCGTACCCGACCAAAGGTGAGAAGATCATGTTGGCCATCATCACCAAGATGACGCTCACGCAAGTAAGCACATGGTTCGCCAATGCCCGAAGGCGGTTGAAGAAAGAGAACAAGATGACTTGGGAACCCAGAAATAGAGTCGAAGACGAAGACAACAACAACGAGGATGACCGGAAGAGCCCAGACCCAAAAGATCTCGGTAAGTGCCTATACTTAGCAAGTGTGTATACTTATTATACTTCGGAACAGTCACGAGTGCAATGGTAGTGGTCGAGGTTGTTTTTGCCTTTATGTAAAAGATAAATAAAATATTTCCTTGTTTTAACTAGAATAATTTTATAAAAAAATACGTAATGATACGTAATTATGATAAAATACTAAAAAAAATTCATTATTTTCCTGATACAGTGCCAACAGTGGTACGATTTATTAATTATAAATAGATAACTACGCATAACACATATAAATAAATTATGAAAAATAAAATTTAAATTAWGTTAAAAGGTTACTGGATTGACATAAAATTTTTCACAGGTGTGGGTGCTTTACGGTTTACTGCATTAATTCCACTTCATTGCTATAACCGTATTCTGCGGATCCTATCTAAATTTCTACTTGTGCATTAATAATTGCATCACCCTTTTGTTCTCCATAAATATATATTGGTAATAGGTGCATAGTTTAATCTTATCTAGACTTTTATTCATTCCAAGTATATACATGGATTTGTTTATTATAATTATTAAAATGCATAATATATATTGTGTAATAAACGAATGTTCTCAGTCGTTGGTTGTACCAACCTATACATAACATATAAAGCAAATTTCAAAAAATATAGACAAATTATCTGCAGTGTGGTTTTCGTCCACTACGTCGTGCTTATGGGTACGTTAATAATTATAATAAAACGTTATATACTTTCGTGTACTGACGAGATCGTTTGGTGAATTCGTGCTTAGTGTCAAATTATTAATGCTGCAGTTCGGATCGAACAGTTCAAATTTGAATGTATATAAATATTATAAATACAATATATGTCATGTATTATACTRTCACATGGMTGTATAAAATAATCTTCATCGTATATTAYACAGTACACTGCAAATGCWTGTGTGCGTATTAAGTACATAATTCCTACTTTAGTTACAGTAGGTATGTGTATTCGGTTTTCCGAATCTAATTTGTTCGGTCGATTAATACGAATTATTGTACGCCATGAAATCTGTCCCCCTTTCATTCCGTATTTACAATTTTATATTAATGATTTATTTTTTTAACCAGATCTAAGAATAAAACGTACAAGTCGGTTTCGTATACATCCTCGATTACTATAATATTTACTATTATTATTATTGCTTGAACACTTTGCAGCAGTACGCCGCCGTGCGCGACCCGAATCACGCGCCCCGTCGGTTCCAATGACCGTTTCGAAGCACCTCCCTCTACCGTCGAACGTCGCTGTATATACATATTATAGTTTCCCTCTTTTTTATTTCCCCTGTTTCAGTGGTCATAAATTTCCGGAGCCGAACACTAGTCACGTGCCTGTCGTAATGACAATAATAATAATATCTAAAGCCAATAACACGCTCCATATAATATCTCGTTCGGTTTTCCGTCTGCGTGTCCTATATAATATAATATTAATATATTATAATACCATTATGTCACGTCGGAAGGCTAAGCACACACACACACTCACGTTGCATTATATATTTTTCTCATCGCCAGACGCTCTCCCCCGCGCGCAGAGAAAATTTTTACATGACACGTGTGTGTGCTGGAAAAAAAACAAATAAATATTAAACATTATTATTATCGTTTTGCTGATGGAAATGTCCTGCGGCACACCGCCGATCAGTAACGTACTAATTATAAAACTACAGCGTCGAAACCGGAAACGGTGTGTAAAACGTGTCTGTAATATTATAACCGCCAAAAATCCGTAATCGAACCGTTGACAAGTGTTATATTTTATAGAACACAAACCTACGTATAATGGGCTTTATGTTTATGTATAGGTTATATTAGTAAAGTACGCATTTTTGAAACTAACGCTACATATGCTACATACACTATCGTTTCAATATGTGGCAACAAATAATTCTGGTTCCGTTGTTGTTCACTTCACGGAATCTTTTGTAATTAATTTTTTAATTCATAACACATCTTCGTCGTAGATGAATAACATTGAATAACATTTTGAAGCCGGCGTAAAAGAGAAACTATTGTTTTCATGGTCTTACGACACGGTCCGTCGACGGTCTTTTAAGCGGTTCAGTGGTGGTTCGTTTGGTGTATCATCTACGTATACTTTAGCGTGCGTTCCGAATAAACTGTAACAATAAAACCGCACGTTAGCCGTTTCGTCGACAGTAAAAAAATCATAAAAGCATAAAAGTCAATAAATAATATTTTATTTTACACAATTACAATATCTTGTACCAACCGTGTATACATTTAATAATACATGACGTGCGATAATATTTTATAAAACGTTTTTCGGGCGC